AGGGGTCCTGGCTAATACACATTTTTATGACAGAAACAACTAAAGACTATTCTGAGAAGTACTTTTCCTTACGACTTCAGTTGATTCAGAAAAGGCATTGATGAAAAGCAATGCCTAGCCACTTGACTTAAAATACTTCAGTCATTACTAAAGTTAAAAAAATGTATAATTCACAGAGAAAAGAAAAAGAGTTGAAATGTCATTATGTATAACAGGGGTCCTGGCTAATACACATTTTTATGACAGAAACAACTAAAGACTATTCTGAGAAGTACTTTTCCTTACGACTTCAGTTGATTCAGAAAAGGCATTGATGAAAAGCAATGCCTAGCCACTTGACTTAAAATACTTCAGTCATTACTTCTGGTTTCCTTTGGGATAGATTTATAAGATGTGGTTCTAAATGATTAAAAGTTAGCACCATTTTATCTTAAAGCCATTTAGTCTTTTCACTGTGGTTTGTAAGTTAGCCAACATACATGCACATAGAGAAATATAAAAACATTTAGCTCTCTCTCTCTCTCTCTCTCCCTCTCCCATTGGTGTTTTCTTTTTTGTCAATTACATTCTATTTTTCAACCCAACAACCTTATTATTCCTTTCTTTTCAGAATTCTCTTCAATATTCACTCTTATTTTTTCTAATTATGCATATCTAATTACTCCTTTTAATTGATAATATTAATACTTCTTTATATAATTTACAAACTTAAACATATTTATTTATTTAAGCTTCCTGTGAACACATAGGTGTTCTATGTACAGTACTTCAGATGACATGCAGGAGTGAGCTGTCTCCCAGTGAGCCACAAGCCTTCAGGTTCTCTGCACATGCTCTTCACAGAAGTCCTAGGATTATCTGCAGGATGTTCACAGGAGCAAAATGTAGGCAAGATAAGAAGGCTTGCTATCATTTTCAGCTATAAATTAATTTTTTTCACTCTTCTTTCAATTTTTAACTATTACCAAAGCAAAATCAAATATGCTTTGCTAGCTATCAGAGACAGAGGGACCAATTTCACCAGCCCAAATGTTTAAATGAATAGTTTTATTTTTCATGCTCCTACCTTCAAAGAGGGAGTAGGGTCTGTCTGGAATGCGGCACCCATGAGCTCCATAATCTAGACACCACTCTGCAAACTGAAAAGAAAGACACATCAATGAATTTATAAGAATCAAGGAGGCCAGTTTTGTCAGTAGTGATTCCAGGGCTCTGGGCTACACTGCAGGGCCAGCATCCCTTAGGAGGCTGAATGTTAGGGACCCTTCCATACCTGTTTCCTTTCCTGTAGGTGACATCTACCTTAGAATACTGATGGGAAGCCTGAAGTAGAAAACTACAACTCAACAGCAGCCTGTTCCTTCTACAACTGAATTAAAAAGCACTGGCTCTGAAACTGCTTTCAGACTTGGCTGTTGGCTCCCTTTGCCTGGATATGCCAATTACACTCCTAGATCACATGACCTTCTGCTCACATGCTCTTCATCCTCTGCATCCTCATCTCTAATGCCTTACATACTGCTGCTTGAACATTTCCCCTTCGTGGAAACACCTTGGCCCTTGGATATCTGTTCTTTCCTTTGTCTCCTTGACCTTTTACTCTCTTGTTTCTTCTTTAGGCTTTTCTGTATTATAATGGACTTTTGTTTTGCTTAAGCTGACATAATTTTGTCATTTTTTATGCTAATAATATTACATAATAAACAATATCAAATTCAATACATGTAAAGTAAAGCTTATTCTGCATTCTGCTTTCCAAATCTGCTTACTTGTTCAGCTTGTTTGGGTCACCATCAACCTAGTTTTCTTTGCAAGATAAGAATATGAACTCAGATATTTCTATCTTTGCCACACTAAAAAATTGCCCTAAATTCTGTAGGTTTTACATGATAAGTGTGTCTAAATCACTTCCTCAGTGCCTTGGTATGCAACTTAACATTTCTCCATTAATGATTAAACAAACACCAGTGTGGAGAAACCCAAGCTCTTCCTCATTCTTCCTACCAGATCCATGGTGGTCTTCCTAAAGAGGAGTCCCAACATGAACCCTTCATTTCCCAAAGCAGTATTCAGTGCTGGTTGATGACTAAAATCATGTGCGGATCCTGAAAACAGGGATCCTTTACTTATATGGTCTAGAGTGGGTCACAATGGAGCTCAGAAATAACCACGTTTGAAAACTCACTAATAAAGGACCAATTTTCTTTGGCCTCTGTGAAAACTGTCTGACTTGAAGTCTTAGGACACACTCTTCCCATGGCATCCAGCAGCACTGAAATGCTGTTTCCAGGACATACTAAGATGTTTCCTGACTGTGGCTTTGTGCCAGGAATGTATGCTCTAGGCCACTCCCCTCTTAACTGACCTGCAGAATACCATCTTTGAAAACACCTCATAAAGGCTTTTCAAGTTCTCCCTATTTACCCAATCACCTAATATCCTACTTACTATCACGTCTCTTCTGTCTCTTGTTCCTGGTCTGACCTGATCCCTTGACCCACTAACCATGAACTTTATATCATTCTCCTGGGTGTCTCAGCCTCCAGGCCACTGGGCAGGTAGTTCTTAACATTTCTCATGCCCTATTTGCCCGATTGCTAGCTGTCCTTCATGTCTTGCCAGAGACATCATTTTCTGACCTCCATAACCAGGTTGACATCTGCCTTCCTTTACATGCTTCCACAGATCCAGTGGTCAGTCTCAGTGTGGGCACCTTACAGATGCACACATTCTCAGGAAAACCAAAAGGGGGAACGTCTGCCCTACTAGCACTGAGAAGAAGCCTCGTAATGGCTGCAGGTGTTCACTGTCAAAACAATATAAAAATGCAAGCCATAATGTTTCCATCTGTCAAGGGTCACGTAAACATTTTGGTGTATTCCCTTCGAATCTTTTTTAGCGTATTCAAATAACTAGACCATGTGAAAATGTATAGCAATATGAACACTAGTGAACATTACCCAGTCTTGCTTTGTGCCACTTATTTTCATGTATTCAAAGTTGTTTAGTTGTTTCTATTTGGGGTCATGTGCTATTGTTGTGGGTACAGTAAAGAGTAACTTAGGCAAGTAAGATCATAGAACTTATATGTCACTGGTTGGGATGAAAAAAGAAACAAAATAATCAACAAATGGATGAGGGATTCTTCCACCTGGTAGTCTTAAAGACCCTGAAGAATGTCATAGTTAACAATGGAATGATAAAGACTTGCCATGAAAACGGCAGGGGAAACTGCATTCTTGAAACAAAGAGCTAATAACAGCTTAGGGCACAAGTATGGTCCACTCCAGGCTGTTAAGAGGGAGGACCAGTGTGGTCCAGTGTGGTAGCTACAAAGTAGTGTAGGATGAGCTGAAGACGAGGGAGGAACAGGCAGGGTCAAAGCTGCAGGGCTCTATAAACTTGGAAAGACAAGTATAAGTGGTTATATGCAATTCAATGAAGAACTAAGCCAGAAACAATCATAGACAATCTGCACATTATCACAATTCATTCTTCTTGAAGCAGCCTTGGTAGGTAGGTAGTAATTTTTTCCCATGTTCAAATAAACTGGGGAATGAAGAGTAAATATACTCAAAGTCATAAAGCATATACATATGCCAGGCATGATGTCACAGATCTATGATCCCAGCATTTGGTGGCTGGAGGCAGGAGGACAAGGAGTTCACGATCATTCTGAGCCACAGACCAAGACCAACGCAAATCTGCGCTAAGTAAGACCTTTTCTCAACCAACCAGCCAACCAACCAACCAACCAACCAACCAACCAACCAAGCTTACATACAGTAATTCTGACCAGGTGGTATGACTCCAGAACTTGTGTTCTTCAGAGTAACCTTCATGTTCGTTAACCTCATCGGACAGACACAGACACCATGGCACAGAGGGTGCCGGAGAAACAGGCTGAAACAAAGGCTGAGCCACAGACTGAGGACAGGTTCACAGGAGCTGTGCTGTGGGTCCTCTTCAGGGAAGTTCAGAAGTTGTGTGCATAGATGTGCTCTCACCTTACAAGCGCGATACAGGTACTTTTTATCTTGTGTAAGATGGTAAAGGGACAGGAAAGAATAGCCATTCCCAGAGGTCCCGTGGCAGATCCCATAGCCTTTCCGGAGCAGACCTCGCTGCCAAATCACATCACTGCACTCCATAGCCTCTTTCAAGTATTTTTCCTCCTTAAAAACCTAGACAGTGAGAAAGCAAAACAGTGTTACAAGATGCTTCCGATGCTGACTGAGAAAAATTCCTTCCCTTGCTGAATAGAAAAGTATAGCACATTAAGTGCTGAAACGGTATCAGGGTTAAGAACAAACATGAACGAGTGAAGAAAATGTGTGTGTGCAGTTTTATTCAGTTACAGAGATGAGCATAGTTATGTCATTTTCAGAGAAAAGAGACAGAATTGAAGATCATCAAGTTCAGTCAAATAAGGCAGACTCAGAAAGACAAATACCAACCTTTCTTCCATATAAAAAATCTATATGGATTTATTTTATTTTTTTTCTGAGGTTTCTGTTTATTTTTGTTTTGAGACAAGGACTCTCTATAGCCCTAGCTGGCCTATGTGAACTAGGCTGACCTTGCTCTCACAGAGATCCCCCTGCTTCTGCCTTCTGAGTGCTGGGATCAAAGGCATGGGCCACCACACCTGGATTAGATTTTGCTTTTTTAAAACAGGCATGGAGGGGCTGAAAGGATGGTTCAGTGGTTAAGAGCACTGGCTGCTCTTGCAGAGGAACTGGATTTGATTCCCAGCACCTACATGGCAGCTAACAACTGTTCGTAACTCCAGACCCAGGGGATCCAACAGCCTCTTCTGTCCTCTGCAGGCATTGCATGACACGGGTGCACTTACCTACAAGCAGGCATAACACTCATACACATAAAATAAAAATAATAAATATTTTTAAAAAGAATAAATATAACTGATGTGCAAGTCTTGTACATCAAAAGGTATAAAATGCTATTGATAAAAAATAAAGATTTTTGTGAATAGGAAGACTCGTTACTAAGAGGTCATCTGTACCCGAATTGATATCCTCATAAGCACAATCAGCTTCTTCTTTAAGTTGACAAACTGATTCTAAGCTATAAGTGAATGCAAAGCTGTAGAATATTCAAAGTGATTTTGAAAAAAAAAATGAAATTGGAGGTTTCAAGTTACTTGATTTCCAAACTTACACTAAAGCAGACATAAGAAAAACATTATAAAATTGAAAAGATAAATAAGCAAAGTAACAAAACAGATTCCAGAATGGAGTCCAACCTCATTCAGGTTATTTTTTATTAAAATATGAAATCAATTAAGTGACAGAAATGAAAGTTCTCAACGTATAAGACCAATCTGATATCCCTATGGTAAGGGACAAGAAAAGGCCCTCATGTATAAATAAAGCTTAAAGAGAAGCCTAAATACAAAATCTGAAAGCAAACACCTTCTAGGATGGTATCTGTGTAACTTTAGTGTATACAAGGTTTCTTAGATAAGACGCAGGCAGCAACTGCAAGAAAAAAATTAATAGAATTTATCAAAATTGAAAGTATTATTATTATTATTATTGTAGTTGGTTTTCTTGAGACAGGGTCTCCCTGTAGCCCCAGCTGGCCTGGAACTTGCTTTGGAAACCAGGCTGGCCTCAATCTCACAGAGATCCACCTGTCTCTGCCTGAGTGCTAGGAGTAAGGGCGGATACCACCACGCCAGCTGTAAATTGAAAGGATTATTAACTGCAGGAACTATCATAAAGAATATAATTAGGTACACTATAAATGGGAGGAATTATTTGTAACTCCAGCTCCAGGGGATCTGATACCATCTTCTGGTGTCTGTGGGCACTGCACACATATGGTGCACTTACATACATGTGGGCAAAGCACTCATACACATAAAATAAAAATAATAAAGAATATTTAAAAATATACATTTCTGACAGAATTTTAACCAGAATTATGAATAATTCCAACTTGGTAATAAAAGGGAAAATAAATCAATGTGGGTAAGTGGTGTGAAGAAACAATAGGGAAACATATAACTTATGGTCTGTAAGCACAGGAAACATTGCTGGACACCTGGAAGATACAAAAGAAAAGCACAATGAAATACCAGGACAACGAAGGTCAAAAGAAGCTCAGCACAAGTGGTCGCAAGGCAGGGAGTAGGCAGAAAGCATTTAGAGCTTCGATGCTATGCAGGAGGGAGTAATCAACTTGGGGGAAGTTCTAGCAGCTTCTTACATGTATCTTGTTACCCAGTAATTCTATTTCTAAATATTAACTCCAAACACATAAAAGCACAAGGCCATGGAAAGACCTGCACAAGAATAGTCACAGCAGCTTATTCATAATAGAAAAAAGGTAACAACCAAAAAGCAGTGTGATAAACCACGCAGGCTGAGATATTTAGCTTCAGCGCAACTTGACAAACCAGGGAAGAGGGAACCTCAGCTGAGGAGTTTTCTGGGTCAGATGGGCCTGTGGGCCTGAGGGGCATTTTCCTTAATTGCTAATGGATGGGGGAGGGTCCAGCTCACTGAGCACAGTGCAGGTGGGCTGGACTGCATAAAAATGCTGGCAGAGGAGGAACCAGGAGGAAGCAAGTGGCTCATCAGTGCTCCTCCTGTCTTGGATTCCCTTGATGTAAACTGTAACTCAAATAAACCCTTTCCTCCCCAGGCTGCTTTGAGTCACTGTGCTTATCACAGCAACAGAAAGCGGACTAGGACACATGTTTTTATAAATGATGCTTCAAATGAAGAAATAATAAGAATCTAAGCTTCGTGTGGTGTTGCACACCTTTAGTCCCAGCACTTGGAGGCAGAGGCAGGTGGATCTCTGAGACCAAAAGGTCAGCCTGAGCTACAAAGCAAGTTCCAAGCCAGCTGGGAGGCCCTGCCTCAAATAAAAAAAAAAAAACCAAACAAACAGAAAACCCCCAAACCAAACCAAACCAAACCAAACCAAAAACCCAAAGAAATAATCAGAATCTTTAAAAGATTGAGGGGCTGGAGGGATGGTTCAGTGGTTAAGAGCACTGGCTACTTTTTTAGAGGGCCTGGGTTCAATTCCCAGCACCCACATGGCAGCTAACAACTGTCATAACTCCAGTTTCAGGGGAATCCAACACCCTTTTGTGACTTCTGCTGGCATCACATGACATGGGTGTACTTATACACATATAGGCAATACACTCATACACATAAAAATATATAAATTAAAAAAAAAAAACTACAAAGTCTGATCAACTTATTAGAATTTCAGTGATGGTGTAGAGTTTGTAATGTTGCTACAGGTCCAGAACCTAATTACCATTTATCTTGGGCCATCTTTAGCTCTCTAAATAGCCACTCCTCGCCCACCTTTGTTTCTGACTTAACATCCTGTGACTAACAGATAAAAATCTGTTGGAATGTATTAACTTAGCAGACCACCAGCTTCCAACAACCAAAAAGGCTGAGTGCTATCAGATGCATCTGAGACCTATAGCTGAGATTTCTCTTTCGCTGTATCTGCCTACTTAATGTTTCCACCAATGTATTTGAAAAGTGCCTAGATTTATGATTTCTTTGTCCTGTTACTATAAAAACTTCATGAAGCTGTCACTATGCTGGAACATGGAATTTGGGGTAATCTGAATCTGTGTTCCCAAGCAACGGTCACTCATATTTGGCTCCAGAATAAACTATCTCTTATCCCCTTTGAGGTGAGAGTTGTGATTTTGTGGCAACAGGAACATAATTTATATGAAAGCATTTTCACACACACACAGAGACACACAGATACACAGAGACACACCACACCCCCATCCCACACAGAGTGTAACACCACGGAGCATTTCTATTCTGGGCTTTTCAGGGCAGTCATGTAGATGCAGAATGAAACGGTGTGTTATATTCTGCTTTTAGTGGCGAATCCACTAAAAGGATTATGTTGTGATCACAAGTATGACTTCCCTGTAGTTTCCTTGAGCATCACATTAGTCTTTCCAAATATAATTTAATTTTCCAGTGATGGTATTTGTTTCTAGTGGATAAAACTGCATAAATTGCTAATGCTCACAGCTCAAAATGTGTGCTAACAGGGAGACTTTGTTATCATACCCATGATCTATCATTCGAGAACACGTGAAATAGCTTCCATTTACAGGGCCCACAGATGTAATTTGTTAGAAAATCTTTTATAACCCCACAAACAGCATGGAATACTGTTAAAACCTAGTCCGTTTTTAGAGACCATCTAAGATACTGCATGCTATGAAATTTGGTCCTCCAGGCATGACAAGCTGCTGCCCTTCTCTTCAACTCTTAGGCACAAGATTGGGCTCATTAGCTTCCTGCCAGGGAGGGGGAAGGGGCTTATAAGGCCTCACCTTTCCCCGAGGATTTATAGACAGTTAATGGTTGCTAGGGAGGAGGACTCATGAAGCCCCACCTGTCCCCAAAGGTAAATACACAGTTAATAGTTGCTAGGAAAGACTGCCAGCAAGTTGCCTATGCTCCTGTAAACAGTCCCATTAAACTCACTGGTTCTCTAAGCTACACTAGCTTAATATAATTTAGACTATGAGATAATACTGTACTGTCAGTATTATGATCACGCCTTGCTGTTGGAAACAGTATTAAAGACATCTCTATGTCACTGAAGTTACAATTGTTCTAACATATCAAAAGGAGGGAGTGATTTGAACAGAATTATGTTTTCATTAAAAGATGAATATGTAAGATCTTTTGATTTTTAAGGAATACATGTTTTTGTATTATACTAAAAAAAAATCGTAAATCCTCAGTGACTTCTGAATGCTCATAGCTTTTGTTATCTGAGTATTTTGGTGTTAATGGGAAACCAGAAAAGTGCTGTCAGCTCTCTAATAAAGCCACAGAAAAACCCGAGTGCTGCTCCGATCTTCCGTGAGTGATTCTATAACAATTCTAAACTAAATTTTTAAAAGTCTTGGATAATTACAATTAATAATCCAGTGATAAAAGGTTATTCAAGCAAGACTATAAAATGGCATCAAGACAAATAAAAACATTTGGTGATAAGACTGCACACTCATTAAAATGAAAACATTGCTATTCTGTTACATGTTTCTTTCACTCATGCATTTAAACTCTGGTAAAACACACACACACACACACACACACACACACACACACACACACACACATACACAACCACTGTGGTGATGAACAGTGAAATAAACTTTGTATTTATTTTGTTACAACATTATTTTAAAAAATTTTTAGGACTGGGAAGAGAACCTTGGTGATATGCTTACTCTGCAAGCATGAGAACATGAGTTTGATCCCCAGAACTCACATTAAGAAAGTGTTGCTAGGAATTTTAAGTCCCAGCACTGGCAAGGTGGAGAGAGGCTGGTCCCTGGGGCTCCCTGGCCAGCTAGCCTAGCCTATTCTGCAAGTTCCAGGCCAGTGAGAAACCCCAGAAAAACAAGATGGATGGTACCACATCCAAGGTTGACCTCTGGCCTCCAGACACACAGACACACACGTGCATTCTGATACACATGAGCATGCAACACACACACACATAAACATATACACACAGAGAATAATAAATAGAATTTTAAAACTAGTCACATGTGGTGACACGTGACTTTAATCCCAGTACTCAGGAGGCAGAGGTAGGTGAATCTCTGTGAGATCAAGGCCAGCCTGGTCTACAGAGCCAGTTCCCAGCTAGCTGGGGCTACAAGGAGACCCTGTCTCACAAAACAAAACAAAACAAAACAAATCAAAAAATTAAAAACTAGAAAGTGAAGAGACAGCTCAGTAGGTGAAGCACTTGCCACACAAGCATAACGATCTGAGTTGAGATCCCCAGAATGCTTGTAAAGCCTGCATCAATAGTGTGTATCTGCGCTCTCAGAATTACTATTAGTAGGGCAGCAGAGACGGGAATCTGTAGAGGCTTACAGGCCAGCCAGCCTCGCATACGCAACCACAAAACGAGAAGACCCTGTCTCAACAAGTGGAAGCCGAGGACCAGCATCCAAGGCTGTCCTCAGGCCTCCACACAAATGCTCTGACACATGTGTACCCACATTCACACACAAACACACACTGAAGATTAATCTGAAAGAATAGTTTTCAGTGAGCCATCCAATGGGCTTTCCAGAACCAGTTTCAAAGCTTGGTGAAATTTGTGCTGTAGATACTTCTGATGATGAAGATGCACTCACCTGATGTGCCTGCATGAGCATGTGGATGACCCCGGGAGCACCATGACACCAGTGCACCAGCCGGTCTGTCTCATTGCTCAATGAAGATGGGTAATTTCCAGATCGGAATCTTTTGTGGCGCACATAATCGATGCTAGGTTTCACCATTTCTGTTAAGGTTTCTTGATCCACTTTTGCTTCTGGCTTTAAACACAAAAGAAACTATTTTTTTAAAAAATCATTGCAGCACAGCTAATCTTATAAAGCATTAACTTCTTGTAATACTGATGAAAATAGAAAATTAGAATTTAATCCTGTTTTTCCAGAATTAGACTTCTAAAAAAAGTACTGATTTGAAATTTTCATGCAATGTATTTTGACCAAATTCAGATCCTGCCCCCATTCCCCCAACCTACTGTTCTTATCCTTCATGTCCTCTATTATTATTTCTTAAATATTTGTGGGTGTGGGTCTATCCCTTGGAGCCTGGTCAACCTAGCAGGCATCATACCAGCAACAAAAACTGACTCTCCTCCATCAAATGTCCAGAGTCTCAGCTAGGGCTGCAGCTTCCTGTCCACTGTTGGAGACCAAGATGGCTGGACTCAGGATAAAACGGGCCTGAACTATTAAGCAGGCTACAGCCTCTGCTAAAAGGGGCAAAGCACTGAAAACAGTGTCTCACAGCCCTGTCATGGGGAACACTGCAATGACTAGCAGAAGGGAACGAGCCAAGTTAAAAGTTTACAGCCTTTTTGTTCTAAGAAAAACATCTTGACTTCCTTGATTTAGGGGTGAAAAACAACCTAATCAATAATACCAAGTATGTGTGCAATTAAAATGAAGATATCTTAGTTAATAAGCTTTGACACATTCCCTGGTCTTTAACAAAGCACCCTCTGATCAATCTATGTGACACATAATATGGGTGCCCTTTGTCTTTGTCTAAATTGAACTTTACATGCACACTGGACCCTGCATGTACCCATTAGGCCCTCTTTGGTGTGTAAGCTTGCTGTTAGAGAGCAAAGTTGGCTTGTTGTGAAGGAAAGCACAAGTCCCAGAGTTGTAACTCTGTCGCTGATCCAGTATCCCTGTCCCCAAGGCAAGGTTCCCTGATGAGCAAAGCAAACCCGAGTCTCAATAATCCACCTCCCAGATCCATTTGGGCCCCTGTCTGGCTTGGGTCTGCACAAGTCTTGTGCATGCTGTCATATGTCACGCCATCTCCAATGAAGCCCGCGTGAGATCCTCCGTGGGTTGAGGCTGGAACTTCAAGGAAGGTTGCCTCTTGGAATTGGCTGTGCTAAAAAACATGCAGTGTACTTGGCATGCTTTTACTTGCTATTATCTTTCTGACTGTCACTGTATCATGGACTTTCAGGGGCCCAGAAAGCACCTGGTGTCCTTGACACCGCTGTCACTGCCTTTATTGAAATCCTTTAATCATCCTAATTCAGATGCACCACTATTAATGAAAGATATTTTAATGAAAGATATTTTTGACATAGTGAGAAGTAATTAAATAGAGTTAATGCTGGAAAGTCCAGGGAATAATAAATTTCTAGAAGAAAAATGTAGATAGATAAATATAGATAGAAGAAGGGTTTCTTGTTATTCATTACATAGAAGAAGGGTTTCTTGGTATTCATTACAATTCATGGATAAATTGGCAAGATTAAGACCACCTTGGTGTCTTTTGATAAAAGATCAACAAGAGAGCATTAAAAGGCAACTACAGACTGTAGTTAAGGATTGGAAAAATAGCTGGGAAAGATGGTTTCATAGGTCCCTAACATGGGATGATTTTTTAAGATCTAAGGGGTTAAAGAATGACTTAGAAGCCCGATGGCTCACTACAAATAAGCAAAGAATGTTATCAAATAGTTAAAAATGAGATATCATGCACAGTTGATATTGAAAGTACTTGGTGGTTTAAGGTCATTCTGACCTGAAAACACAAAACTAAGCAGAGTTCTGAGTACGTAATAAAAACTTGTAGTAGAAACCATAGTATCATAAAGCAGGAGTTTGCTGACTAGTACCAGATTGATAAGATAGAGAAATGTGTTTTGGCTATACATGAGGGCTGGCAAAATTGTTTTACTTTTACTGAAAATCTTAGAAGGTGACTAATTACAGAACAGTCACGCTGATGATGAACTTTTGCAATCTTTGCTGTATATATTTCAAACCTTGCAACTGTAAAAATACACTCAGACTTTCATCAAGCTCCTTTGTGTCTGTTTGTCATTCGCCGACTCCTTGTCCACCCTCTTGATGACCCTGTTCTCGTTGGACTGAACTGCCCTGGTCTGGGCTGGTCCGTCGCAGTCATAAGTGCTATGGGTTTATATGTGCCAACTGCCTTATTGTGTCCAGACAATACAGATTACCTGTATTCATCTACCACCTCTGGCTCTCACAGTCTTTCTGTGGCCTCTTCTGCAATGATCCCTGATCCCTGGGAGGAGAGGCTGTGATGTAGGTGTCTCATTTATGGCTGAACACTCCCAGACATAGACCTTTGTTTGTTTCAACTCTTTAAAATCTTGAGTGTATTAAGTGCTATAATATATTGAATTTATTTACCTTTTTTTTGATAAACTGAGACTAACAACTTGAAATAAATTCATCCTACAGAATGTGAAGAGATTTGATTTGTCTCTCTAGTGAACGCTGAACTACGAAAGATTTTGTTGTGCAATTTTCCTTTGTCTAAATACTAAGCTTTGATTTCCTTCCATGTGGCTCATGCCTCCTAAAAGGGCCACATCTCCCAAATCTAACAACTGGATTTTTTCTACTTTAGGCAAATTATTTAACCTCAGATTCTTCATAGGATAATCATAGTATAACAAAGAAAAATGTTTGCTGGCCTCCTTCATCCAATAATTTGTATAAAATAGTTATTCTTATCAAAAACACTCAATAATATTATAATTAACCAAATTTATGTTAAAGTTTTACTAAAGAGCTAGGACTAGAAACACTCGGAAAATATTTACTTTTTTTGAGACACTATCTTTAATAAAAGTACTGAAACAAAACACTCAAAGGGTCTCAATGTACTATAGAGATTTCTCATGAAAAATGTGGTGGTAGCAAATTACAAGTGAGGCTAATTAAATGTCTTTAGCATTATATATTAACAAGCCCTCACAAATCTGAATTATTGATAAAGCCTGGTATAGAGAATCAGTTTCTGAACATTGACTTAATTTTTGATCCTGAGGGCAAATTTCCAAATGGGATGTCAATATTACCCATAACTAAACAGAAATATTGCTTTAAATTTCTGATTATTCTATTAAAGCTACAATATAATATTTTTTCTTTATCCAAAAATATTTTATTATTTTTATTTTATGTATATGAGTGTATTGCCTGCATGTAAGTAAGTGCACCTGTGTCATACAATGCCCACAGAGATCAGAAGAGGGCATCCAATCTCTTGGTACCAGAGTTACTGACAGTTGTTAGCTGCCATATGGGTGCTGGGAACTAAACCCAGGTCCTCTGCAAGAGCAGCCAGTTTTCTTAACCTCTGAGCCATCTCTCCACCCCCATCCCCCCCTTTTTTTTTTAAAAAAAAAATGTCATTTTCTTACATAAAATAAATATCATTTCTTTAACCGAAAGATTTTTGTTAAACATAAATAAAAGACAATTTAAGGATGCTGATGCTTCCAAACTTCTCTAAAGAAAATCCATTTTAATATTTTAAAAATTTACATAGAAAACCTTTAAGTGTTTTCCTGGGATATACTTAGAGAATGTACTAGATTTGTTTTTTGAACTACAGTTCCTGAAGTATATTTTCAGATAACTAAATGGTACTTTAAAATGACTCTTATGCAGGGCTGGAAAGAGGGCTCAGTGGTTAAGAACACTGGCTGCTCTTGAAGAGGACCTGGGTTCAATTTCCAGCACCCACACAGCAGCTAATAACTGCTGGCAACTCCAGTTCCAGGGGATTCGATGCCCTCTTCTGACCTCCACAAGCATTGCATGACATGGGTCCACTTACACATATGCAAGCAATACACTCATACACATAAAATAAAAATATAAATAAAATATTTTTTAAAATTCTTATGCAGATAATAGTTTCAAAAGTATGCATGCATTTAATCCTACCTCAGAAGTGGAGGCAGGAAGATCAGGAGTGCAAGGCCATCTTCCATGATACAGGGAGGTTAAGGCCAGTCTGTGCTACATGAGACCCTGTCTCAAAAAAATAAAACAGCAGAAGTACGTGCACACACACGCACACACACACACACACACACACACACACACACACACTTAGAAAGCATTTTATTAAAAACAATCAGTGCTCCTGTTGTGTGTATGTGTGTGTGTGTGTATACACATGTGTGTAGCTTCTTCTGATTTCCTCCATATTTCATGTATAACGTATGCATGACTATGTCTTAACCCACTGATTTAGACTTCATTTGTGAGTTTCCATTGTGGCTAGCAGATAGGCTACTTTCCCTCTTCTAAAAGCCCCAAAGAATTTTCTCATCATTCCTTTTGGTGATATCCATTGAGTCCTTTCCAGGCTAAACTATACAATACTGCTTGCTGCTGATAGAAGAGATATGCTAATTTTGACATTTTCACACGTATTTTTATAGCCTTTGATTTTCACTGTAGTAACTTTCTTACCTTTTTATTTGCTTAGTTTTCTTTGAATTGGCATCTAAGCATTTTACACTCACCAACAGATTTATAAAGTTTCTCAATGAAATTTTCCCTAGTCTCATCAACTGTGACTTTTCTTGCCTATGCAAATCTTTCTCTGTTCTCTTACTGCGATTGCTTTCCAAGTCTTGCATACAGTGGCTGTTCTGAGACTTCCATCTGCTAGTTTCCTCAAGATCCTGCCCCCTCACTATGCACTGGGCAACTTTTCCTGGTTCTCCTGTATTGGTGTTCAGTGAATTTAATTCTTTGGGTAGGCTCCATACTGTGGAAGCTTCCTCAGATACAGTGTAGGATAATTAAATTTTTTGAGACTAGCTGCTTAAAAACTTAATCTTTGTTCTCCCAGAGTAGAACATTTAATTGATAACTTTGTTCGAACTCAATGATGGCAATCAATTTGACTCAGGACATGGAAGGTACTGTTTCTATGAAACAGTTATGAAGTCCAATGACATTCTGATGTCCAACTTTGGTTCATGGACTGTTTTCTT